GGTTCATAATTCCAAAGTAACAACTGTCTTCTGACGTTATTAATCTTGAGCATTGAGAATAGACTAACTTGTTTGCCTACTGACTTTGTGGAAACCCACAAAACACCAATCATGCAGCCACTCCTTTTGTATGGCATCGAAGCCATGTGGAACTCGTGTTCAGAGGTCTCAGCCTCTGGTTGGAATCAGAATACGAAGAATCAGTTTGATTTTGTTTAAGAATACTGTCAGCAATCATTTAGGGGAATTTAATCTTAAAACTTCATAAAAATTTAGAAGAATATTAAATGCATACATCCATCTTGTTTAGTACATAGCTTCTTATATATACTGCTTGAAAATCGTTACCTAACGAAAAGTAAGGTGCTTCACACTCTTTGCTCCATCTATTTCTGCCTGCCCTGTAGAAAAGGTCACTGATGTTTTTCACCTCCGCCAGGCCCGTTTGGTGTTCATTAACGAACTGGTAAGAACAGGAAAATAAATCTCCCAATGTGGATCAGTATGCTACAACAGACCTAACAAAAAATGTTCTTACAGTAAATTTACAGCAGAAGACTTAACGGAATTTGAGAAACTGCCAGAATAAAATTTTTCACAGTTTTTCTTTATGTACATAGTCAATAAAGTCTGCGTACATCAAGAAAAGTAATATCAAATCCAAATTTTTAATGTGCGAAAATGGTATTTTTCTTACAGTGTTATTATGTTTTTTAAATCTTTAGTTTCATAAGGGACTGTGAAATATTTAACTGTATAATTTTCCATATCTAATAATTATCCACACTTTTTTAAAGATAAGTGTCCTAAATCAAAAGCCATAAATTTTGCGTACAACGCGCAGGAGGCGGAGGACTTTCTTATCTACTTTTACAACTTTATCAAATTTGAGAATGCACAGAGGGGTTTTTACAAATACACTTTTATAAAAGGTCTTTACTTCCGAAGCAAATTTTCACGTTGATTGGGAAGTTGCCTATTTCCGATGTTCCTTTGACGAAAATGACAACCAATAAGAAATTCCTTTAGTTACGAACACTATGTCAATTGAGAGATAAGGTAAAACTCTTCGTTCTATTGGTAAAACCATTGGAAACTTTTTCTAGTGTGCAAAGAGTTATTCAAACATCTTTACACTGGTATCTTGGTTGTAAACCCAAGATGTGGGAGACCGAAGAAGATAACGCAGAAGAAAGAACGAAATTCGTTTACGAATTAAAACAAAATCCTAAACTACTTTCTTCTGCGCCTTGCAAAGACATTTTTTTTTTAACTAGCAACAAATAATTTCTCTCTTCCTGAAACGTACGAAACGTGTCTCCGAAAGTCCGATTTATCATGGACGCCAACCTAGTCTAACCCATAACATTCCGAGACCCATCGAAAGAACAGAATTGCTTTTGCCAAAACATATTTTACTCTTCGCAGGAGACTTCGGAACATGTATTTGGTCAATGAAAGTAAATGTACAATATTAAAGTAATACCCCCTATGCATGGAAGCAAACCAGGAACAGACTGAACTGAGAAATTTCATCAACTGTCCAAACATGGAGTTGCGTGTGATGGTATGGGGTGATTCGTCGAACGGATTAAATTTTTCACATGATTGATAAAAGGCAGGATATATGTTTATCTGGATATCTGAAGATAAATCTACGAGACAGTGCCGAAATTTAAACTTTCTAATACCTTTATTTTTTCAACAAGACCACGCCCAAAACATAGAGCGAAATGTGAGGAATATCTCTATATCACACTCCAGACAGGTGCGTACGCTTCCACACAGGTCACCAACTCATCCAATCGAACATTTGTGGCAAAAATTGGAGAACGGATTCCGAAACCACAATATTACGTAGCCTAAATGAGCTATTAGTTATGCATTCAAGAATGGGCGAAGTTTCGTCGGAGATGAACTTAAAACTTGTTTCATCAATGCCCAGGACTTCTGCAAGCTGTTTTCAATAATAAAATACGGGCTCCTACAAATACTGATAATGTAAAAACGGTTTTTTTTTTTTGAAAGTGTAACGCAACGTATTGAAGGGAAGTCTGAGTTTTTGTTGACAAATATATTTTTTGAAAAAAGGTAAAAAGTTATTCCTGATGGTATTTACTTTTTATTAAGCTTAACAATTTTTAGCTAATAGAAAAAAAAAAATGGCAATGATTAAATACATTTTTTCTATGCTTTTATGTTTTTTTTTTACTTTAAAATTTAGTCTGTACGCAGACTTTTGTGACTAACTGGATTGCTATATATTTATTATATTCCCGAATATGCTCATTTTCTGTGATTTAATTTTGCATTTATAATTGACCTATCTATATTGTTTTCTACTCTTTCGGTGTAAAATTAATTACAGTACAGTCAACTCGGTTATATAGGAAATTGTATATTTTCCTTTGTATTATTTTGAACGTACTACTAATTTAACTATTGAAGAATATAACTGAAAGAGAGTTTTGTTATGCGTGCGGACTGAATTTGCCATTCTCGGTGTCAAGAACTCCAGAGAGCAAAACACTGAACTGACTTTTTGCAACATTCACAGAACGTGTTTCGCAAAAATTGTTTTCTCAAGGTATTAAAGCGATACAGGATAATTTTTAGATAAGGCACATCTGCCCCTCTTCAATTAGCTGTAAGTAACTACGAAAATCCTTTTTTTAATTAAAAAAATCATCTTATAAATGACTGCTCGTTTTCTGGCATATTGTACAGTGAGTACAATAGTATTGTACTCACTATACAATGCACATAATGCACATTGTATAGTGAGTAATGCAAAAATTATACTATGGAACAGGCATGCACCTACTTTGACAAATAATGTTGCTTCACAGCCGCCTTGAACTTAGTTTAATATCTACGTGCAGTGGTATCTACGTAAAAGTGCATATCCGCTTCATGAAATCTTATACTCAATAGCAGCGTTGTTCAAACTACGTCTTTAGTAATAAGAGAAAATGTAGCTGAATTTGGCAAAAGTATACATTTGTTTTTATTCTTCAGTTTATAATTAAAACTTAACTATCGCTAAAACATTAGACGGCCAGTAGAATAAGTTGTGAATTCATTTGGTATAACAATTTAATTGTGTATAATTTTTCAAAGTCTGCCTATAGTAAAATATGAAGGTAATGCAACTTTAAGTTGTTTAAATATGTTTGAGAAATTTCCTTATTCCCGTGTAAAGAGAACCAATATATTTACATGTGATATGTGGAGATTTATATGGGAATTTGTAGCTCAGCATGGGATTTTTACATGGAAATTTGTAGCGCAGCGTTGATGGCAGTCAAAGGAATATACATTTTAAAACATCAAGATTTCTGCTGTTTAAAATCTTCATCAAAACATAGAACGCAAATAAGATACACTAAATTCTACAATACATTCAACAGCTGCTAGAAGAAAAAGCTAGTGAAGCGACAACAACTCAGTTTACAAGCACCTTCTGTTGTTTTTTTATACAAGCAGAAAAAATATAGTTTTTTTTAACAGTTAAGTAAGCGTAATAATATGTAATTTAAAATATTGTTTATACAAAATTCTTCTGAAAACTGTACTACGAGAGAAATAGGCAGAGGGGCTTGTCACTGATTGGTATTTAAACGCATAATATATTGGGGACATTGAAGATTTTTGTACCTTTGGCTGAGAAACGATGCTATTATAGTTTTGACACCGCTGATGTTCTCCTTCGTTATGGGTCTGGTTAATTTAAAAATGATGTTCTAATATATTTTTATGATAAAATAATTTCTCCCTTATATATAGTTGTTTATCTTCAATGATTTCATCTTTTCAATTTTAGTCAAAATCAAACCAATCCCTCGTTTGAAATTAAACCCAAAAAAAATCAGAATTTCAAAATATGTGGAGTCAATTAATGTGTACATCAGCCAGTTCTTAAAATGAAGTGTCTGCAACCAGTAAAGAAAAGAAGTGCAGCAATTCACATTCCACATCACCCTTTTTCTGCCCAACAATGAGCAAGTACTTAAGATGTCTAAATATGCGGGTTTTCGTTCTACCAAGTTTCGATCAAAAGCGAACGAGCTGGCTGCATGATTGTTCTTTATAATTTCATCGATATGTAAATTGAAAATGAGCTCGATTCCCCCATCAAGGCATTTAACCTCTTAGGCAAATAACCCTTTGGTGTTTCGCCATATTCCAATTACCATAAACACAGCTTCTATACCATAATGCACAGTTTTCATTCTGCGGTATCTATTTGTAACAAATAAAAACAGTATTAATATATCATATACTTCCGCCTCACAAATATATTAACTTTCATGTTATCCTTGCCTCCCAAAAATAAGTTTGCTAACTATCAAAGTTAATTACACCGAATCGAAACTTAAGATTGAAAATACAATTTTGGATGAATCCATGACATATTAGTTCTATTATATTCAAATAATGGCTATATTCTAAAATTTTATTTATCTTTTAAATATGAGATTATTTGACATCGGTTGGCAAATAACCTCTGCTGCCTTATGTAAATGGATATTTCACTTAAAATGTTTATAATTTTCAGGGTTTTTTTTATGTGAAAGTTTTTTATGGTAATGTGGACGATGCAGACCGTATTAGCTATCTTAAGGTAGTTTTCTTCATAATAGTCTTCCTGGAGGACAAATCACTAACTTGCAGAATTGCAGCCAAGATGGCGGGTCAGGAGAAAATGTGGTCTGGTTCAAGTTTGATTCGAGGGCAGTTTCTGTAGAGAGTGTAGGTTCTTGATTTTTCTGGTAAGAATTTTATCCCTCTGAAATGGCCATTTCCAAGTCTTACCGAGGTTTTGGAAGTAATTCTGTTGGCGTTGAGTTTGCATAGATGACATTTCTCCCTGGTGGTCGGATTTGTTAGGTCTGACTTAGCAACAGAATTCATGCTATTAAGTGAGGTGGCAGCTTCATTGTAATCTATGCCAGCGTGGGCTGGTATCCATTTCATTATACTGTATTAAGTTGACCGATATGGGTGAGGGCATTGTGAATTTCATTGGTCTGTCTTGAGATACCTCGCTGAATAACATGAAGTGCAGCCTTGGAGTCACTGAAGATTATTATTATTTTGGTCTTTTTGAAATTTTCTAGCTTAATATAGATGTTTAAAGTCTCTTGTATGGTAAGGAGCTTCCAGGTGTAATTTGAAATAATTTTTCCTGCTCCAGTTTTATGATGTGTTATGCCACCGACTGGGAAAATGATTGAATTCCAGCTCGCTGTTATTTAGAATGTCATTCAAATTTCCATCTGTGAAGGGGCAAATATAGCCAATCCTTGAAGTACGGGTCTATGGCCCTGATTCTTTTAGCTTTTACAATGACAACTGGCTATTTTTGGAGCATTGTTCAAGCAGATTAATAGGAATAGTAGTATTTGGAAGCAGCAAAGATGGTAAAGTTGGCTGCTGTAGTATTGTGTACTTGTAATGCTCCAAGCCGATTTGCTATCTAATCTCTCGATCGTACTGCAAGGTAGACCTTAAAGCCTTTTTTCCGCTCCATTTCTAAAAGTTTCTTTTTTTTTCCCCTCTAATGTGATTTTTGTTACGGCTTGCTTTTGATCTTGCTGGTGTGTTTGATAACATTGAATTTTCTTCTGTTTCCTAAGGTCTCCTAAGGTCTCCAGGCCACATTATTGCTGTGATTTCAGTTTATTTGTGGATGAGACGGGTCCGATAATTAGTTTTTCTGCTCTCGTTTGTATGTTTTCCACTTTTTCTAATGCACATTGTAAAGCGTGGGACCAGGCTGATATTAAACTCTATAATGGGCCTGATAAAAGTGCTGTAGGTAGTTCTTAAAGTCTTAGTATTTATTCCTCAATCAGTGCAACGTAAACGTTTCAGAATTTTCAGTCTTGAGAGTGACTTATTTTCGCATTTCCTGATATGCTAAGTAAAACCAAATTCTGCGTCCAAAATTAGTCCTAAATATACTAGGTTTTCCTTCTTTGTAAGTAACTGGTTGTTTAGAGATAAATTTGGTGACGAAGAATACCTATGTTTCCTATCCGTGGAAAATACGCTGTAAGATGCTTTCTGTGGGTTAATTTTCAATTTCAAAGATTCCGCGCATTTCGATATTTCCTTTAGGGAGTGCAACAAGGTTTCCTCAGATTGCTTTAATTTTGCATCAGTGTGCCAGATGATAATATCATCAGTACAGCTCACTACTTTTGTATCGCTGTGAAGGTGTGGAGGAATGTTGTGGACATACATAATGAGCAGTAGGGAACTAAGGAAAGACGCATGTGGAGCTCCACCCCAGGTCATTTTGATTCTTGTGTTGACTCCATTAAACCTTACTTTAAATTCTCTATTTCAGAGAAAGTCAGAAATCCATATATGAGCCTTACCCTATACACCCATTTTATTTACAATTTGAATTAGTTTGTTTCTCCAGACGGTATCGAATGCTGAGGTTAAGCCGAGGAAAACAACTGCAGTTTTCTTAGATGCCACTAATAAGCTTATAAAGTCGTTTTCTGCTTTCCTCAGTATTACTCATTTTCAAGAGTTCGTTCGTATTATCTCTTTCACTGAACAAGGAAATAAATTTTTCGTCATCATTCCAGTAGTGTATCCAATACTTTCTCCTCTTATCTTTTGGGATACTTCTCTTCACTGCAGCGGTGATGTTGTGAAAGAAGGCTTGCATTCTTTTATCTAGGTATTTGTATATTGACGTACTTTTGTGTGGTTTCTCCAATATGAGAGTAAAATGTGTCCAGTCAGCCTTTCGGAAGTTGCAAGATATTTACTTTTGCTCAGTTTGTTCCAGACAAAGGGATAAACGCAGTGGTCATACGTCGGTGATCGCTAATGACTTTCTCAGAATTTTCCACAAAGGTTGGAGATTTTGTTATAAAGAAACTAACTAAGAATTATACTTATTCTTATGTAATTTAAAGCAGATAAATAGCCGCAAGAAAATTAAGTACGATAATTATTTTACACGATAAAACCAGTGCAATAATTTTCTTACTTGTGGTTACAGGTCCTTGTACGCCAAATCCATGCGAAAATGGAGGAACCTGCTTGGATATTTCCAACTCTTACCAGTGCATGTGTAAAAGTGCTTACACTGGTCTTAAATGTGAAAAGAAAGGTGAGAGAAGAAATGTATAAAAAAACAAATGTTACTTTTTTATAAAATTTTAGCTTTTGAATATCTTTATCAATTTAACTGAGAAAAATGGCTCCTTATTTCCGTAAGAGTTTTACCTTCCAAAGAAACGTATTTTAGCTCCAAACAAAATAGCAACACATTACTGTAATGGTCTAAGGCAGAGTTGAACTAAATCCTAATATAAAGTATAACAAATATATAAAGAGTAAATGCAGTACTTCCGGTAGTTTCAGTTACTTTTGTCCGTTTTCGATCGGCGTCGCCGATATACCCGTAACCAGAAAAGCTAAGGAATAAACCTAAATTAATCCTTATATATATGCAACAGCGGTGTGTATATGTTTGAAAGACGGAGCAAGTGCTTCTAGCTTTTACCACACTTTAATGTAATACCTAACCTATCTTTATAAATGGGCTTTCTCTTTCAGCTCAAAATATATGGCCCTAAAAGATGAATACATTTGTGTGTAAGTTAACGGTTACATGTTGAATAGCTGTAATGTTCTCGAAAAAGCGGAGTTTAACGTATACTTAATGTGTTCGTTGTCTTGTAGCAAGGTCTTATTAAGATCTTCTGGGATTAGAATAATCTGTTGACTTCATTATATCGGTGGTTCTTGATGTCATGTTGAATTCAAATAAACTCTTTTATTTTTCTTCTAAAACTTTATGAATCAAAAAATATTTGCAAATAATTTACCTATACATATTAACACCTTGTTTAAATCTCACTAAACCCCGCCTTATAGAGGCCACAGCTCTTCACTTTCTCACATAACGGAAAAGTTTTAGTAAATACATGCGGGCGACGCAGCGGCCTCTAGAACGTTTTCCACAGCTATCCCTATCCGTAATCTTGTTGATGAGTACACAAATGTACATAACAACCACCAGAATATAAGGAAAAAATATGTTTTGCATAACTATTATAATTTAATATTAACATAAACGTTAGCATAATAAGCATAAGTAAAACTGAAATTCATTAAATAAATTTGATAATAGTTATAAAATATCTGCTACTGTTGAAATGAAAGAATAAACTTACTAACATTACTGGAAATAAAAAAACCCAAAAATGTGATATTAGTAAGTAAAGAAATGCACAGACGTACTTTTCATTTGTTGAGCATGATCTACGATGAGTGTGTAAAGGAAAAGACGTCATTTTCTGTAGAAACTATCAGTCATTCTGCACGACAATATTCAGACACTTGTATCGCAATCTGTAAATAATTTAAATAATCTCTTGATGAAGTTGGAATTGCTTAGCGTTCCACCATGTTCTTACGCCCTAAGCTCTAACAACATAAAACGACAGCAAATGTTTCAGAAACGTATGTCTTTTGCATGATTTGTAGATAAAGATTAACGTAGATAAACAGATATTATTTGTAGATAAACAATAGCTACTATTAAAATGCCAACCATTGTAGTTTAGTATTGCAAATAGTGGCTCTGCTTGTGATGGGCTCAAAAGCACATTGTGGTCATACACATGGAGATAAAAAACTTCAGATTATGAAAACTTCAGACATGTCAAAACTCTTGTCAAAATCAGAAGTAAAGCGCAAACTATTCAATAGTCAATAAAATTAACCTTGATTTTTCGGTACTTTAGCTGAGAAAAAATCTAAACACTCGGATTTTAGTATAAAAAGCTTTAAGTTAATCTATTCGTTTAAAAAATAGTCAATAAAATAAATAAAAATACGTTTTTCATCTTGATATCATTTTTTATAATGTGTTCGAAATATCTACTAGCATTTTAAAAAATGTAATCAAAATAATTTTCCACGCTTTAACATGCGTCAATTTGACAAATGTGCATTTAATTAAAAACATTTTTGTAAAAGAAAAGTGTTTTCCATACAGCTTATAATGTCAAATACTGAGAAGTGAAGCAGAGTTCACTTTTTTCAGCCCAACTGCTGGAATTCAAACGTTAGCAAAAATGTTTTTATAAATTTAATATGAACGATGAGCTGATTCTTTGGTTTAAATAACTCGTAATTTATATAACCATTTGCTTATATGTTATTTATGGTTCATAAACGTCAATTGTATATAGTACACAAATCCTCTCTTGCGTTCTTAAAAGATTATTTATTCGTTATGTGGAAAGATGCTACTTAAGCAAACTGTGTTTATTTGCTTTCTTATAAAGAGGTTTATTTTTTTTTCGTATGCTTTTCATATTAATCTGTTAGCAGATCGCCTGCTAGGGAGATTAATCTTAAGGATAAATCCGATAGATAAATCCGAAATAAATATGTAACGACATTTTAAAAGGTTCATTTCGGAGGAAATTTTGGAGAAAGTCATAAAATGCCCTTTACAAACTTTGAATGTTGGGGAAGGATTCATGATACTAGGTTCAAAGCGATCCTTTAGAGTCCTGACTTGATTATAACCAGTGCTGTGGTTAAATAGCGCTGCACGGTTTGAATTGGTTGGTTTATGGTGAAATACTGGAGAATAGTCTTTTTAAAGAGAGACATACCTTCATGGATTACCTTTTAATAGAAATTAACTCAAAAAATGGCCAGCAAACGCATTATTTCTTTCAATCTCTTTTCTCTATTTTTCTTTCTTCTTTCCTTCTTTCTGGGAAGACTACCTGTTTTGTGCAACGTCTTGCATTTAATTTATCTAGATCTTTATTGTAAACACTTGCTTACTCATATCCTTGCTTATAGCTACAGCACTTAAAAAAATTACCTTCATTGATGGTCTAACCGGAAAAACTACCAATAAGCCGATGATTTCTTTTTTCTCTATCTTTCTCTTTCCTTAAGGGATGACCATCTTTCTTTCTGTCACAATTTGCATTTAACTTTTCTGGATCTTTTTGGTGAACATCTGCACACTCATATCTTTCCTTATAGCTACAACAACTTTAAAAAAATTTAAATGAATTAAAAGAAAAACGTATTATGATTTATAATCAACGTTTATCTTTATAAATCAAACAGTTTCTCGGCTGTCTCTTCTTTTCTTAGTTACTTGCGGTACAAATCCATGCAAAAATGGCGGCTCATGTCACATGGTCAACGAAGACTATGAATGCAAATGCAAATCGCCTTACTCAGGAAATTTCTGTGAGAAAGGTATTTGATTTTAGTTCAACATTTAAGTGACAAAGCTTTATTTACTTTGTGTATGAGTAGACTAAAATTCTTTTTATATAATTAATCCTACATTGCAGATCCCTGTACGACAAATCCTTGTCAGAACGGCGGTAAATGTCACGCTACTACGAGTGGTTATACATGTTCCTGCAAGAAACCATACTCTGGACATTTGTGTGAAAAAAGTACGTATGTAATTTAAAAATTCAGAATTTAGCTTTTATTACTAAATAATGAAGAATATGTATGTTTGCTCCTGGCACTGTGGGAAAATGTCGGAACACAGAGACATCAAATTTTAACGCACATAACATTCCTCCCAAATATGTGCACTTTAAAGACGAAATTTGAATGCGTTTTCTTTTCGAAATTTGATATTTGGATTTTAAAAACAAAAACAATAAATATCGCTTTAACTAAATATAATATATAACATACTATCTATAATCATATATGTATGTTAATCTGTCTGTTTCTGGGACGCCATAGAAGAAATCAGCTTGCAGTCGTCGTAGCAAGAGTGAAGGGCTAACAGATAATATAATAGAAAACATGATCTTGGCGAACTTCCAGTCTTTATTTCCCATGATATAAATAATCTCCATAATATTTATAAAATCATCATAAATCCTAGACATTTGGTATGATCAAGAATAATGAAATAACGATAAATTGTCTATACGATACGCTGGGCATTTACACAGGAACAAGCGAGAGCTATTAGCACTGTATATGAATGAATGAGTAAAGTAGACTTGCCAGAGTATTTATACGAGAAATAGGTCGATTCTTCAGAGACAATCTTGTGATTGTTTATATTAGTTTTGGTTACCCTGTTTCATCAGCTTGGACATAACGTCGAAAAAATCTCCAATTTGGTGAGAATCCATGATTTAGGAGCAACACTCAAATTTATAACGTAATTTTGAGTATCGCGCCCATTACTTTCTTAAAGCAGCTATCGTTTTTGAAATACTCGCTTTAATTCCAAATAAAAAAATGAATTTAAATTCAGATATATATTTTGTTATAAATTTTAATAATTTGGTACTTTCCTTTTACATTTTTTTTAGTATATTTCTAATTCCATTTAATACATACTTGATAAATAAATTTTACTTTTTACTGCCGCTTACATTTTATGTAAACATATTTTTCTACTAGTATTCTACTGAAATCTAACGGTTTTAGATGTTGTTATCTTGCCTATATAAACCCATGTTTATAATTCGTAAAAAGTTCCTCAATATTTAATATGTATTTTTTGTATCTATTCAGTGTTACGAAATTATCATTAAGCTATTTTCTTAGCGTTTTCCACAATTATTTTAGACGTCGTCAGGATTCTTTGAATAGATAAAAAAAAAGTAAGATATGCAATAAAATGTCAGAATAAAGAAATGATCAAAGCAACAGCCAATTTTAGGGAAGCTGTCTATAAAACAAATTAAGTAACTAAAAGCGGTATATCGCATACTACATAATTAAAGGAACAACTACTGACATAAAATTTTAAACAGTCTACCTCCTACTATGGAATTCTTTGATAAAAATGAAGGAAGAAATGGAGCGATCGATATTTGAGCTACCACTGCTTCTACAATTTTATACAGAAAAATAAAGCAACACACCGAATATAGATGAGAAAATTTACTGGAAAACTCCGCTCGGATCCACAAGCAGCCAATGAACAAATGCCTTCGCTCCAACTCCCCCTTATCGCTCTGAGTCATGTGATTTGTTACTCTGCCTACCGCAAGTTTGGACTCACCAAACCATTCACTCAAGATATACTGCTATCCGGAGCACATGGCATCAAGTCTTGTCATGGTAACAAGCGTAACAAAACGTAAACACATGGCTGCAAGTCTTCTCATGGTACACCTGTTCTTCTCTACCTCCGTCCTCACGGATCATCACTGTCATAAATGGAGCAAACTCAAGTACCGTTAATTAAAGGATTCCAACTGAGCTGGTAACGCCATGTTTCGCTCGATAAACCGTGATAATTCAATGTTGGTATTGGTAGTTGAGAATGAAAACGAGGAAATAAACTTATAATTTTTCGCTCATCATGTTTTTGTTAAACAATAAGGTACATTTTTTACGCACTGAAAAATAAATGATTTGAAATATTATCCTTCCTTACAGACCTTTTTGGAGCAAATTTATAGCGATGTCTTATATTAAAGAAATTATGCAATGCCTTATAGTTTTTTCTGCAACTAACTGTATAGTTTTTCTTGCATTTCAAGTCATTTGACTTGAGCATTTGGATTAAATTCGTATAATCAAAAACTAACAATTTTCGTTTACTTTCATATGCAGTAAATATTTTTAAGAAATTATATAACCTGGGTACCATGATATTAAATAAACTGGGTTCATTAAGGTTATTGTATATTTTTCCTTTTTTATAAAAATTATCGTAAGCGGCGTACAGTTGTAGCGACTATCCAAAGTTATTATTTCGAAATATTTTTATTTAAATTTTAAATAATTGTTTAGGTTAGTTATATTCAAATGCAACATAATTAAAGGGAATTACATTTGCAAATGTGTTTATCCACAAGCAGGAAGAGTACATGGCAAATGTATTATCTTAATGAATCAGGTATTATTGTTTTTAATATTATTTTTTTTTGTCAATGATATTGTTTTTAATGTTTCCTTTTCTGTTTATGATTCATGCATTTCAGACTTTTTTCAAAACACAGTCACATAGAAAGTGGTTGATGACGATTATATGCGTTCGTGTTTATGTATTTGCCCAGGAAAAAAGTGCAAAGAAAGCATTTGCTTTAATTCAAATGCATTAAGTGGATTATAATATTTAATCTTCAAAGTGAATATCTTTCATTTGAACTGATTAGCCTAGTATCATCGCTCCTTGCACCGATTAATCGTACTTAAATAACAATTCTGAATAAACATGCAGATAGATAAAAATAATTGTATTTATAACAAATACTAGAATTAGTAAGTATAACTTACGAGTACAGTTCTATTTTAATTTTTACCATTTATTCTTAGGTCCTTGCAACCCAAATCCTTGCCAGAACGGAGGTACATGCACTAGAGTAATGAATGATTACTTTTGCTTATGTTCATACCCTTATTCAGGAAAAAATTGTGAAGAAGGTATTTGCTTGCTTTATTTCAAATGTTTGATGCTTATTATAATGTCTAATATCACAGACTTTTTAACTAAACTGGCGAGCCTTAAAATGCAATGGATGAATATCACTAGCCCATAAGAAACATACATCCTTTACTAGAAAAGTTACAGGACAATTTTTTTAAATTTATGAGTTTGCAGTACTAAAACGGAGCAAATGTTATTTTATGTTACCTGGTATCTATTCTTGCATAACATGACCTTGGTCATGTTTCTACGCAAACTTACTAGGTCGTAGGGCTGTGCTTAACAACATACTGTTCAGATTGTTGTCGCATTTCTTAAGGTGATGGATGCAATGGACGCTGATTGTAAGCAAAGAGTTAACATTAAATTCTGCCCTGAGCTCTGGAAAACCCATAGTGAAACGTGGAACATGATTAGTCAAGCATATGCCGGCGAGGGACTTTCAAGAAGTCGTGTTATCGTGTGGAATAAAAGATTTAGTGAAGGCAGAAATTCAGTCCAAGACGATCCCAGAGCTGGTCACCCGTCTACAGCACATAACGATGAAAACGTGGACCGTGTAAGGCAGTTATTGTAAGAAGACCGTCGTGTAACTGTGCTTATGATATTAGGGATAATGAATTTGAATTTTGACGTGTCATAAGATTTTATGCGAAGATTTAGGGATATAGAAATTTAATGCAAGAATAGTCCCTCACTCACTAACTGCTGGATAGAAAGATGAAAGAAGAATTTCTGCTAAACTACAGGACTGAACCAGACGCGATCCCATATTTATGTCAAAGATAACTGTTATTTTTTTTTTGTTGTTGTTGTTTCTGTGAGTGAAAAGGTGACTGAAAGAGAAGCTTCATCAAGATTTATTGCAATCATCCAACGGGTTGTCACAAATGAGCTTGCAAGCATCGCAGTTGAAGATTTCTCCGCTTTCTTCCAAGACCTCCAGAAATATTGGCAGTTTTGTACAGATAGCCAAGAGGACTATTTTGACAGCAGCTAGAATCATTACCTAGTAAATGGAATTTTCTAATTTTTACTACCTTTGTCCTGGAACGTTTCTGACAAAGGATGTAAGTCAGCAAGTATTGAAACAGCTTGCAGATAAACAGCAATAATCAAAATATATGAATCTGCAAGTATAATTTGTTATTTCCATTCTGAACGCTTGGAAAATGGAGGTACACTATGCACACACAAAAAAAGACAGATTTATATCTCTCACTGGCTCGATTGACGAAATTCAACTTGAGTTTTTCATGTCTCGAAAGCGCGATTTAAGATATAAATTAGATTTATATATAGCAATTGTTCTGACATAGGTGTTTTGACACAAAATCATACTTTTTACGAAATGGCATGCCGACATTTTTCCATATTTGTATTCTCCAACCTTTATTTCTAAATACCAAATTTTGTAAAATTTAGTGATAAACTTACCGAGAAATTTAAAAATTTATCTTGGTGCACTATTTTCAGTTAACGCCAAGAATGTGTCACTTGAGCCAAATTTTTAATTTATAATCACCTATTTTTCTTTATCTTTCGTTGTGCCCGAGTGTGAAAAAAAGGTGCAACTTTCATACTTTCAAGTACACTCATGTCCATAAATTAAAGATAATTCGGAGTCACGCGGA